TACCGAACTTGAAAATTTGTTACAGGTGAAATTTTCTGGGTGAATCCAGAGCAACAGATGATTGCAACACTTGAAGAAGCTTGTTGCTAACTCACTGGAACACACTGATTTTTACATGAAACTGTGGTGTTTAAAGTTTGATTTTTGTGGTCTCCAGGTTTAGGATGCAGCAGGTGAACATCGTTGGTTCCAGTCCAATGAGCGCCCCCTCTAGGCTGATTCAAACACTGCAGGCTGCCCCTGACACCCACCCCTCCAACCTCAGCCTCGTGTCTGTCACACAGACCAGTCTACATTTTAGCTGGAAGGTACCAAAACACACATGGATACACACACACGCCAAATACATGCTTGACTCTGTTAACCATTAACCTTCATTCTGCTCCTTTACAGTCATTTAAGTGGTGCTAATTTGACTGGAAGTTCTTTCCTTCCTTTTTTTTGCATGCCTGTGTTGTGTCCTTGCATCTTATTTTTTAGCATACTCACTGAGCAGCAGCAAGACTGAACAGGTTGAGCGGCTGACAGCCTATAATCATTGTCTCTCCTGGTTATCGTTGCTCACACTAATCTGTCATGTTTCCCACTCACCACTTTGGACTGGAACCAGCACAAACTGCTGTATAATATTGTTCTCTAAGTCTTTCCTTTCTTTAGTTTTCTCCCTTCTCTCCTTCCCTCCATCCCTCTTTCACTCCCACCCCTCCACTCTTCTATTATAACATAAATGGAGAGCAGAGTATTTTTCCATTTAAGAGTTGGAATGAGAAAAAGAGCCTGTCAAATCAGACACAGACACTGAGACAGTACAGACTACAAGTGCGGCATGCTAATGGGACTTCACCTGTATGTTAGCGCCTTGCCTGAGCTATGCTGGTTTTCTGCTATAATGGAACCATCACAATGGTTTCAGCTAAGGCTATTATTCTAAGCGGCATATTAAGGGTAATAAAACTAATGTGACATTTTGTATTATGGCTCCTAAATGCTAAGCTGTTCTAAATCACTGAGGTATTTAAAACTACTGGGTATATCAAAGACTTTCACTCTGCACAGTGTGGGATGGTTGCTATGTACATTGTTTGTGAAAATCGTCTGTCCAATTAGGTACCAACTGTGGATAGTAACAACACCTACCTAAAGTGATTACAGGACAATTTCCTCTTGAAGTAATACATTAACAAGGGTGTGAGATGATGCAGAGCAGTTGAAATGGCAGAGATGTAGTATGCAGGTAGGGATAAGAAAGTGGAAAAGTGAAGCAGATTGGGATTTATCTCTCGTAGTATAAAAAGCATATAGTTTTCTCTGGTTGAAATTGTTTGGGGGATTCCAAGCCTGTTTCAGGTCACCCCATAAAATCTCAATGAGATCTCAAGGTTTAATGTCCCAGAAATTTCTTCTTTCTCAGCCAGTCCTTATTTGATTTAATTATGTTTTGAGCCATTGACATGGCTCAATACATACCAGTAGAAGGTCCACTTCTACTTCATTTTTAGATTATTACTACAACTTTCAACTTTTTTTGACATACATAAGCTTGGCCAGGAACTTTTACCTCATCTCTGCATCGGTCCTTTCACAAAACAAATGGAGACTTCAAGAAGGTATTTCAATTGTGGCTTGAAGTGTTTTGTGAAAGGATCTTGCCAGGGGAAAATGAAAGTCCTATTGTGGGAGTGTTATTAATATCATGTTTATTTATTTAACTGGTCAAGAAAGCCAAGGTGTTTTGAGGTAGAAGAAGAGGAGGCTGGAACAAAAATAACATTTAAAATCCCCCAGATTAAACAAAATAAACATCAAAAACCAATAAAAAAATTACCGTACTTACAAAAACATGATACTCACACAAAAGGGGATTTTATAAGCTATGAAGCAACCAGAGATAATTGGGTACAAAGCCTAGCAGAGAGCAGCATATGTCTTTAAAATGATCTTTGATTCAAGCTTGAAAAGCTGCTTTGGAGATGAAAGTATCCAGTTTTGGGATTTTTTTTTTTTTTTTTTTTTTTTTTTTTTCCCGTCTTTGGCTGCGGCAGCCTAAAAAAAAAAAAAAGAATAAAAAAAAAAAATT